CTGGCTTCATAAACTAGAATGATATGTCCTTAGTGATAGTTTAGTGGGATATGCATTGAACATGAGGTGATGAGGCCTCCCAGATATATAGTTTAAGCCTGCTGTTGTCAGTTTTTAATTGCAGTAGCAGCACTGGCACAACCTCTTTGCTGAAAATATACCCATGACAATTTCTAGATAATAGATGTGTATTTTGTTTTGTATCCAAAATGTAAAAAGTATATTTTATTAATAAGAACAAAGGTGACAGCAGGAGATGTGCATTTCTTAAAAAGAGTAAGAACCTTTCTTTGATAGGTTTCCATCGCTGAAACAGTAAATTATATATATATATATATATATATATGAGTTTTAAGGTATGTTATATTTATGGGTTAAAGTGCTCAATATCAGGGATAGAGGGTTTGTAAATATAAAAGTGGATATTAAGGTCAACACAGTGGCAAGTCTGTTTCATGTTTAAATGCAATCATTAGGCCATGCGCATTGTGTTTTAGCTCGGCTATATATGCTTGCCTGTGATGCATTATGGGTAGGTCTATTGCAAAATTATTATAATGGTTATTATTTTTGGTGTGATTTTGTTTTTAATTTCCCATACATGATTAGAAAACATAGTGCTGTTCATGTATTTACTATAAACAATCAGAACTCATCCCAAACAAATCTTTACTATGTTACTTAAATATAAAAAAACTAATAATGAACAAAAAATAAATATGTATAATAAACTAATCCAAATCAATAAATAATAAACATTATGAATGCATAAACACAAGTAAACATAATAATAACAATCAATAACAAATAACAATTCACTCAATAATAAAGTTAACAAACAACAGTATAAAGTAGCTACAAAACTGTATTCAGATCCACAATTATTTTCACTCAGTAGCCCCTAAACTAATAAGAAATATATCTGTTACAATAATACAATAGCCCTAACCATAATGCATCAGTGACGAACATATATAAATAGCCAAGCCAAAACACAATGCACATGGCCTGGTGATTGCAATTAAGCATAAAATGGAGTGTCACTGCTTAATGTTGACCTCACTATTCACTATGACACACATATATATATATATATATATATATATATATATATATATATATATATAAAAAAATCTAGGGTGCACTGAAGAAATGCAACATTCCTTGCAATATTTGGAATGTGGCTGCTTGGAGTAGAAGGTATCACTTTGAGGAGGAGAAGAGGAGGCACACAAGGCTTAAAGGAGATATGCGTAAAAGCATCCCCGCTGAACTTCCTGAAGACACCCGCAGGCAGCTCAGTCTGACATGTACAGATTGTGGTAGAGTGTGTTTGTCAATGGCTGGTCTAAGGAGTGACTTGAGAGCACACCGATGGAGGATAGCAATTGACTATAAAACCATAGACATCCAGCAACTGAAATGTGATGCTTGCAGTAAGACATACTGGTACAGAAGCAGTTTCATGTAACATTTTAAATTGCATGATAATGTAACACCCACTGTTGCACCTCTTAAGTGCCCTGTTTGTGTCAGAGTATGTGGGTTCCTTACTGGTCTAAAGAGCCACATTCGTTCAGCACATCAGTAGATATTCTCCAAAAAGATATGTAATAATGGCTGTATTCTGATACGAGTTGGCAACCACCATATATAGTGTAATTAGGTAGCAGTTGTTCTATTGAACAGTATACATATTCTCTGTCTATTAAATTTAACCATCTTTTTCTAGATAATGAATAATCTTAATGAAGCCATTCACATCCTGTAAAAACAGCCATAACTCAATAAAAATAATTATAGTCTCTAACCCTGCATTCTCCAATGCATATAAAACAAAAGGTCTTTGAACATGACTGATACACGTTACTGTATCACATAGCTGAAAAGACTTGCTGCATTTAGATTTATCCAATTCAATTGGAAAAATGTAACAACCTTAAAATGTACCACTTAAAACATTTGGTTTTCTTTACTTTACTTTATTTGTACTCACCTCTGAAGATGACTCCTGTATGTCAAAAGCTTGGACACAACCTTTCTTTTGAATATTTTTGCACCTGCAGAAGCCAGGTTTACATAAGATTATTTGTTGTCTAGAAAAGACAATGGTTAAATCTAATAGACTGTCTAAAATTTACATACATACATATATATATATATATATATATATATATATATATATATATATATATAATATATAGTGTTGGAAAGTTATCAGCCCAACCTGCTTCCCCAAAACAATCTTCTGATGTTTAGTCCTTGAAAAAGTATTAAGCTGAGAACATTTCTACACTCCATCAATGTGTGGGTCTGCATATATATATATATATATATATATATATATATATATATAATATTTATTTTAAAATTATAACATAACATCACTACAAAAATAGCCATTTTGTTTCAATACTTCTGGTGTTTTGTCAAGTGATGGTGTTGATTGTAAAATAAAAAGATTTTAAAGAGTTCAAAACAACTACTACTCCCACAAAGTCAAATATTTTTACATAAGTATCTGATAATTGAAATAAGTGACAACTGTCCTTAGATATAATTTATTAATGCTTTAAAATTACTATTTAGATTATATAGAAAATCAGGATAACTAATTAATCTGCAGTTTATTATGTAATTAAAAAGTAAAAGTTATGAATATTAAACTCTAAATATAACCATGCATCAAATTTAAAGACTTAGAAAATTATTCAAAGAAAAAACAAAGAAAATATGCCTAAATTTTCATGTATTGTTCTTAGTAATATGTTAAGTTTTCCACCTGAATCTGAGCAGAAGGCTAAAAAATTAGTTACATTGACAGGGTTGTAATTAGAGATTTACTGAATGAAGAAGAAAGGTTTATTGGTGACAAGACACAGATATCATGTCATTAATACACAAACACATAATTATGATTGAGTATATGAGCACATAAATATACGAACAACAAATAAACGGACTACTCATCAAGATTCAATAATCCAAAAATAACTACAAAGACAACATAAACCACCCATCAGAATTGCACAAACATGGAAAATCAATATCCAAATATATAAGCATATGCATATACGTATATATACACACATATATTTAGTGAACTTTGATGTCAACACTCAGAGGCAACAGACTGTTTCATGCTAGACGCAATCATCAGGTCACATGTGTTGGTCTTTTTCTCAACTATTTATATATATATATATATATATATATATATATATATAGCCAGTGGTGCATTGTGGGTAGTCCATTCTATCAGTTATTTTGCTGGGAGTGGTTTGTTTATTTATTTGGATTAATTTAGTTTGCTTGTTTTTTTTTTTATTTTTTATTTATTTCTATTTTATATATATATGTATACTTTTTGGTTTTCGATGTTTTAGTAATGTAATAAAAACATTTAATTTAAGATTAATTTGAGCATTTATTTAATAGTTTGTTTTGGTCTGGGAAGGTAATTAAAGCTATTTTTTTGTCCAATGTTTGGATTGATTGTTGTAGCCTATTCTGTTATTTTGGCAGGAGTGGTTTGTTAATTTATTTATTTTATTTATTTATTTATTTGGATTATTTTTATTTGTTTTTGCTTATTTATTTTTTTTTTATTTATTCTAAATGTTATTTTGGCAGAAGTGGTTTGTTAATTTGTTTATACTTATTTATTTGGATTAATTTCTTTTGTTTTTTTTTCTTATTTTAATTCTATATATTTTATTCTTTTCAGTTTTCAATTTTTAAGTAACATAGTAAAAATTTTTGAGATGACTTCTGTTTATATAGCAGTTTCTTATGGTCTGAGAAGTTAATTATAGCTATTTTTTGACCAATTTTTTGATTACTGTAGTCTATTCTAATGGTTATTTTGGTGGGAGTGGTTAGTTAATTTGTTTATTATTTACTTTATTTATTTGGATTGATTATTTTTACTTGTATTTTCTTATTTATTTTTTATTTTTATTTATTCTTTTTTGTCTGTTCTAACGGTTGTTATGGCAGGAGTTTAATTTGTTTTGGATTAATTTATTTTACATGTTTTTTGTTTTTTTTTATTCTTTACAGTTTTCATTTTTTAAGTAACGTAGTATAAGTTTGTTTTCATATCTGCATTTTGAGATGATTTCATATTGTTTATTTAGTAGTTTGTTTTGATCTGGGAAGGTAATAATGGCTTTTTTTTCCTCCAAGCAAAGTTTGTGGGTTTTGGATTGATTGTTGTAGGCTGATGTTCTTTTCCTTATTTTCCATGATATTTTTGCTGTGATGAGCATTTTGTTTTTAATTTCCCAGATATACTTAGAAAGCACTGTGCTGTTCGCATATTTACTATTTGTGAGAGATGTTTTGTGTGCATAGTTTCTTCGTTTCCATGGTCCTTCAGTTACTTCTATATATATATTTCTTCATTATCTAGTAATTTTAATGTGGCTTGGTTTATTACATTGTTTTGTAAGCAATTACCATTTAAGGGACATTCATTCTTTATTCTGCAGTTACACATGAGTTTAGTTCAGGTGTTTTGTTGATAGTTTTCCTGTTGTGCTTTTTTATTATTTGTGCACAAATAATAAAAAAGCACAGGAAACTATTTTACAATCAACACCATCACTTGACCAGACACCAGAAGTGTTGAAACAAAATGGATATTTTTGTAGTGATGTTATAACATACTTATAATTTTTAAATATATATTATTCACTTTATTTTGTATTGAGCATTCATTTTTTTTTATTTAAATAGTGTCTTTGGTTACTGAAATTTTATTCCATCTACACCAACCTTGCATTTGTGTGTGTGTGTATATATATATATATATATATATATATATATATATATTTCTTTTCAATGCATATTTTGTAATATAATGTTATTGTTCATAAAATCTTTTTATTTATATTTTTTGATATTTCTTTCATATGAATTTTGCGAAGATTTCCAAGTTATAAAAGTATTTTTATTTTTACCATGATGAAAGCAGGTTATAATTTTCTTTTTTGTAGGCTTGGCCTGGACGCAAAGATGTTAGCACATATTTTGAATGTTAGTTCTGGTCGGTGTTGGTCAAGTGAAATCTATAACCCAGTGCCCGGTGTCAAAGAAGGTGTGCCATCCAGCAATGATTATAAAGGGGGCTTTGGTACAGCCCTTATGACAAAGGTAAAAATTCTCTTGTATTTATTTCCAGCCACTCACTCTAATGTGTAAAAAGTGCTCTTGCTCTTTGCATTTTTAGTGGGAAATATTAATATTTCTATCTTATGTCAGTTCCCTTATTTCTAAGAGTGGGTGCTGATTCATTTCCTAAAATCTGAGCACGAGAAGTGATGTGGCAGCTTCTATACTAGGCATTTAAGACTCAACTTGCAGTACAGTTTGGGATACTTTCAATGTCAACACCTGAAATTGTTCATGTTCATTACCCGTTTTTGACTAATCGGCAACTTTTGGCCATAAGAATTGCTAAAATACAAGAAATATCTAGGAAACAACAACCCCCTCCCTACCACAACCTCCTTGATGCAGAGGCAACAGTCCCTGTAGTGACAGTACTTGGATTCTCCATGCCTGGAGAAATTCAAAACTGAAAAGTCATTAGAAAATTTCATAATTGCAGTTTTTGACATCCAGAAATTATTTTGATAGATGAATATCTTCAGAATGTTCAAGCAGTTAATACAGAATATATAAAGGGGTTGGACAAAATAATTGAAACAGTTGCAAAATCCACTCCTATATTTCAAAGACCTATTAAGAACTTTAACTAAAACTTTGTAATTGCAGATTATATCTATTGTAAATATGTTTATTTATCTAATTTACTGTCTTTGTCTTATTTATTTTTAGAATTTAGTAAAATTTAAGCTAAATACGTGACCTCTCCGTGTTCGAAAAAGAGCAAATTGTTAGAGCTCACATGGCAGGAGCCTCAATCACTAAGGTTGCTGAACTGTTTGGTTTTTCAAGAGCTACCATATCAAGAACACTGATGCAATTCGAGAAACAGGGCAAGGCCTCTAGCAACCGTAGAAATTCGGGCCGGACTTGCAAACTTACTGACAGGGACTGACGTGCATTGAAACGCAATGTGGCAAAAAATCATCAAACAAATGCAGCCAAAGTGACTGCTGAGTTGAATAACCATCTGAATAGTTCAGTTTCTACTAAAACTGTTCACCGTGAGCTTCATAAGGCTGAATATCATGGAATAGCCGCTGTGAGGAAAACTCTTCTCTCGACTTGCAACATTCAAAAGAGGTTGAAGTGGTGCAGAGATCACAATGCCTGGTCTGCAGACCAATGGAAGCAAGTCATATTCTCAAACAAGTCCAGTTTTTCTCTTTTCCCAACTTCAGGGTGAGTTTGTGTGGAGGCAGCCCAAAGAAAACAGTGAAGCATGAAGGTGGATCAGTGATAGTTTGGGCCGTCATATCATGGAAATGCCTCAGTCCAATAGTTGCCCTGCATGGTAGAATCAACAGCAAAGTTTACTTGAACATTTTGGGAGATCATGTTTATCCAATGGCCAAGACTTTATTCCCTGATGGTGACTGCATCTTCCAAGACGATAATGCTCCAATACATACCACTCGAGTGGTTAAGAATTGGTATGAAGAGCATGAAATTGAGCTAGAACACATGGAGTGGCCTCCCCAATCTCAAGATATCAATATTATTGAACATTTGTGGTGCATTTTGGAGCAACAAGATAGGAGCCGCTATCCTCCACTGTTGTGTCATAAAGAGCTGGAGAAGGTTTTAATGGACGAATGACTGAAAATTCCTCTGGATGAAGTCAAGAAGCTGTATGATTTCTTTCCTAGATGTAATAAAGCTATCTGTGAGGCTAAATGAGGACCAACTGCATATTAAATAAATTTTCTTTGAATTTAACAAGTGTTCCAATTATTTTGTCCAACCCCTGTATATATTTTTTCTTGTTACACAAGTTTAAGGCTTTGAAAGAAAAACAGCAAGAATAGCAGAAGTGTTCTCTGTCTGCAGGAGAAGATACTTGCTCACAGGACTGGCAAAATCTTTTAAAGAATTTGGGTTTTGAATAGGACATTCATTCTCCTTACCATCTCTTGCTAAACTTAGAAAATGGGGGAAAATTTTCAAATAATTCAAGAGTGATAGCTGCTGAAGAGCACTATTTCAATGACTAAAAATTCAATCGCAGCATTTTTATTCTCTGGTGATTTTGTATTAAGTCACATTGTAAATTCTAACAATAGGTAAAAAAAAAAAAATGCAGCAATATTTGTATTAACACAGAATACATTTGAACATGTAAGCATGATTTTGGTTCTTCTTATCCCTGCACACTGTCTTGATTATTATTCAGTTACTTTCTTTTATTCCTTTTCTGTGCTAACAAACTAAATATTTCTGGTAGTAAGAAAAATAACTTGGTTACTGGATTTCACAATTTTTACCTAAAATTTATTTGATCAAGTTTCTCAAACTTTGTGCATTGAATATCAAAAAGCAGATTGTTAGTGGTCAGGAATAAATGCAAGTGTTACTAATAAACAGAAAAGGGCTATTCTGTATATAATATTTAATTTGTTATGATTGTTAATAGTGAAGGGACTAGATGAGTAACTACTTGAACAAATCACTCTATCATAACTGATCAAGAGCTTTTGAAAGTGTAAAAATAGGTTTTTATAGTAAAAATACAAGCAATACATTTTTGAAAAAAATTATTACTGGCAATAGATTTTTGAAAAAGAATATTACCAGCAATAAAATCTTGTCAGCATTAAATAGCCCATTGAGGTGTTGATATGCCATAAAATAAAACAAACAAAACCAAAACATAACTACCTTACCTGTTCAGGAAGAAGCAATAGTAAAAAAAAGATGTTGACCTCATAGTAAACCATGGTACGTATGAATAATAATAATTTAATGTATATTTTTCAACCATCTTATTTTATATTTCATATGTAAGCAAGAAAAAAACAAAAAAACTGAATATTTGTACTGTTATGTACTACATTTAAACAATATGGATAATGTATTATTTTTTTTTTTTTTTTTCTGATGATTTGCAATTGATATGTTCTATGAAATTTAATTTTCTATTTATTTTACCCAGGACTTGGGGCTTGCCCAGAATGCTGCCATTAACACAAAGAGTCCCACTCCTCTTGGAAGCCTCTGCCTACACTTATATCGGATTATGTGCAACACTGGATTTGCAGAGAAAGATTTCTCATCAGCTTTTAAATTTTTACAGGAAATGGAAAATCGAAATTTCCCTTGAATTGAGTTATGATTTTTAAATAATATAGATTTTAATTTTACTAACTTTTAAGGATTTCTGTGAATGTCTAATCTATTTATCTTTATTTTTCTTTATAGCAAATAATTATGTTTTTCTTATTTTTATGATTATCTTTGTAATAAATAAAAATAAATTCATCAATTATGCAAAATCTAAACAATAACACATTTTAAGAAAAAGGTAACAAAATTGAAGGCTGATGACTCTTAAAGAATTGATCAAGTTCATTCTGTCCATCTTCCTTTTTAATTTATTTTATATTATTATCATTGTTTTATTTCAAATTAATTTGCAATCTCATCTTTTTAAAATTTGTCTTAATTGAACCAACTAAACGTGTCAGTAAAAATATGAAGAATTCTACGAATTAGCAGAAATATTATCAGGTCATCAAGAGTTTAACAACTTTTCAGCAGCCTTTAAAAAAAATACTCTCCTTCAGTTGGTCCAACCCACTTCCCGAAATCTAACCAAATGAGCAATTCCTTCATTAGCTGAGCTAATAATTTTCTAGCACCCCTTATATATATATATATATATATATATATTATGTATGCGTGGTACTTATTGGAAAGCGTTTAATATCAGTGATAGTTGGATTGATGTGAGTTTATGACCTTGGGTTTCTGACGATCACAAGGGTGTAAAACCCAAGGTCACGAATTCACATCAGACAAACTAAATTATATATATATTGCTAATAGGTATTTTAATCATAGAGACCAATGTTGAATAGAATGATGGTATTATTCCTGTTCTCCAGATAGTTGTTGTCTTCCTACAACAACCATATATATATACACACACACACACACCATTAGACTTAAATAAATAAAAAAAATAAAATGGACAAAAACATTTTCCCCTTCATCTCTCCCCCATATATATATATATATATATATATATATATATATATATATATATAGAGAGAGAGAGAGTTTACACAAAGAAAAGTAATATCTGATCTAATGATTGCATAAGGTGTGAAACTACCTGTCACTATGCAGTAATATACTGCTTTCCTGATTTAAATAAGAAAGAAATCTAATTTATGTAATTTATAGAAAATTATATTATAATTTATAGAAAATTATATTCCTTTAAGTTAATTGTAGATTACATCCTTTAGTTTCTTTTTTACATAGCTAATACCTAACATCAGGAAGAGACAGCTGAAATTTCTAGGGAACTTGATAAGGAAAGTGTGCTTAGAAAATTTGATATTCACAGGACAGACTGAAGGCAAGAGAAACAGAGCAAGATAACACATGACCTACCTAACAATCTTGAGTAAATGAATAGCAGAGCAAGACTTAGGAGATATAACAAAAATACATAATTTATTAAGAGCTACAAAGGACAGGAAATTGTGGATATCCATGACTGCCAATGTCTTGAAATGGCACGACACATAGAAAAAGAAGGAGAATTAATGATAGAGCAAATAAGGAATGATCTTTTTATTTCATGTCAGAGGATATAAATATATTTAATGAATGAATAATAAGAATGATATTCCTTACTTCTGATTATAGAAATATTTGGTTTGCCTTCAAAACTGAGTAACGAATTTCTCAATGATATATGTTGTTTTTTATTTTATAATTTCTTTTCTTACAGTTTTCATGTCATTCATAATCATTTCAAGTAACATGATTGCAACCAAAATCCCTTCTAAATTGTTCAGTAACTCAATTTTGAACTTCCAATCTTAATCCAACGTTTAATGCATAAATGTGTTTCCACCTGCTAGAGTTTACAGCCCTTACTATATCATCACAATATATACTAGCTAAATATCTTCACTATTTTCATACCTCATACTTTTGGGATGAAGAAAAATAATGCTTAAACAAGCACTTGTCTATGTTTGGTTGTATGTACACAGACATTTTTGATATTCTTATTCTAATCTCTAGCTGTTTCTCAATCGCAGAAAGAGATTATTTTTTTTCTACAATTGAACACTCAAATACTCTTGCCCGATTTTTTTCCTTATTTTCTTATGAAAATTTCATTACTCAATGCCCTTTCTTGATCATATCACCCCACTCCAAATTATGAGTTAAATTTGATCAACCAAGACTGCATTCAAACACATAACATAAACTAAATCAATTATTAGTCTTTTAAAGTGTTTTACAAATCCACTTTAACTGTATGAATTGAAAGCTATTGTTCTGAAATGACATTGGGTGAATGAAGGAAAAAGAAGGAAATCCTTTTTTTTATTTTTACTTTAATTATTTTTAAACAGAAGAAATGAAAACCTATTTTGTGATTAAAATCAAACAATTTAAAATATTTTTTTTAAAAAAAGTTTTATTTTCATTTTGTTTTGATGAATTTAAATTGTTTTGTTTTTTGGGGGTTTTTTTTGTCTTTTGACTTATTGACTGGTAATCTTTTTAAAATAAATTTTAGAATAAATCTTTGGGTTTTGAAGTGAAAAATTTATATGGTTATGCAAGAATTAAGTTAAAATTGTTTCAGGAACTATCTGCTATTTTGTCCAAAAGTTAGAATCTGTTGGCATTAATAAAGTCATTTGTTGTCTCCTTGTTGACTCTAATCATTGACTCTGTGTTTTGTTACCCCAACAATCATGTTAGCATGCATAAAATTCTTTAGTTTAATTTTTAATTTTAATTTGTATTTAGATTATTGTATTGTCTTATAATTTTTTCCTAAAAGAAGAGATGATAAATTTAACTTATTTTTCAAGGAGTTTACAATTTGTCTAAAGCAGTCAATACATATACCCTCTAACAGGATTTGTGCATTTTCATGTTAAAACTTACGTTAAAATTGTCTAAGACTGATTTTCATGTCACTTGATAAGCACAAACTTTCAGTTTCTTTATTATGCCTTAATGTTTTTCAATTTTGACTTGCAGTAATGGTCTTTTCCAAACATTGATATGAAAGTCTTCCTTAAAAACACTCAAAATTTAAACTTTCAACTTAATAAGGAAAGACAAAAATTGTATTTTCAGTTTGCTAAGTTATATAGTAAGAACAAATTTTTTATCTGTCACATAACTTTTATTACAGTATATTTTGATATAATTATTTTATCATTGTTCCTAATTTATAAATTTAACTTGTAAAAAGACACACACACATATACATATATATATATATATATATATATATATATATATATATATATATATATATATATATATATATAGTTCAGCACTGATGATTTCAGGAATCCTCTGGAGTTCTTGAAATTTATATACCCTGCTGTTAAAGTTGCAGAACAACAGTAGCATAAATTATTCAAAGAGTAAATACTTTCATATCTTGCTTGTTTTGATCACAACATTCATGACCAGTGTGCTTTCCAACTCTCCTGATAAAAAAAAGACAAAAATATGATAGATTGATTTATTAAATAATGTGCACTTGCCTTTGTTAATATTCAAATGCTTCTCTATGACATACTCAAAACTTGAACACTAAAAATATTAATAAATGTGACTACCATTATTTTTCCTTGTTTGTTAATCAGACATTTTTCATAGTTTCAGCTTTACCAAAACACCCTCCACCCCCAAATTTATTCTCAAGACATTTTGGAAGTTTGACAATTTTGTAGTAGAGCTGGAAAGATTTTAGTCTTCAATAAATTTAAGCAGATATTTCATGGATACTAATTTATATTTTTTTTAAGATCAATGGATCTTATAATTTAGTATTTTTTTTAAAGAGTAACTTTTTTCTTTTTTACTTGTTTGAAATTTCCAATTTCATTTGTTTTTGTGTTTTTAACATTTTGATTTGTTCTGAAATAATGTATTTTTTGCTAAATTTTTCACATCTCAAAAAAATTTTTTTTAATATTTGTAATATGTGTTAAGCCAATGTGAAAATCTTCCAAGAAATAAAATATCAATTGAGGTAACCAACTTATCATTTTTGATTTTATTATTTCTGTGTAATTGATTTATATGTTTGTTTTCTGTCATCATTGAAAACGGCTACCTGTTGGTTTTGGCTTCTACCACTTGGAAATTAATAATGACACATCTCCAGGTTAATGTCTTCTGAAATAGTATGACAATAACAAAACTGTATTGATGCTCATTTACATATATTTAAAAATATATATACTGTGTGTACCAGGTATTTGTGTAGTTTGAGCATGGAAATAGCAAGATGCTGGCAATATTTTATCTATGGGAAAGATGTCAGATGGAAAATGATGATTATCCACAAAGCCACAGAAACACTTCTAGGATACATAATGCTTAGCTTTGGAGTTTATATTTGGAAAAAATCTTCCAATTCATTTTTTGAATCCTAAGAGGATTCTTTTATATCCTTTCAAATCATTATTACACTCTGTTATCTGTTTTTCCTTTATTGCTACCCTTCTTCTCAGGACTGTAGTGTGTTCGACAAAATATCTGGCAGTATAGAAGTGGCACTCTCTTTACATTCAACTGCAAGCATCTTTGTGCATGGCTATTTTAATGCTCATCATGTCAAGTGACTTCATCATTCTAATCCTCCTGATGTTACTTGTATTCAGACTTAATTTGTCTGTTGTTCAATCTCTCTGTCATATAGTTGTCTTCCCTTATTTTCCTAATAATTCTAAAAGGCATACCTCCTTACATGATCAAATCTTTACATCCTGTCCTGACTCTTGTCATGTTAATATTTCCTTTGATTCATCTATTAAGCACCAACCTCCTATTCACAAGAGTCTTCTATCAGCATACTGATTCAGATTCATTTTGTGATTTTCTTTCACTCCCTGGAAGAAAATGTTTAGTCTTCCTACAGACAATTATGCCTCTGAAGTTTCAGCCTTGACGCTTTTGTGCCTTCTTGCAAATACCAAATAAAACTACAATCTTCTTTGTTTACATCTTCCTTTTCAGCTACTGTAGCCCACAGGAATCACTTTTTCCAGCTATAACGACATGATAGCCCTGATCAAAACAGATGCTTCTTTGTGCCTGTTT